ATTTCACTGCACTGCCCAGAACTCCCCTAGTTCTGCTACCCAAAGAATCCCACTTCTCTCCAGAGCTGCCCCCCCCGCTGCCCCCCGTCCCAACTCCCACTGCTCCCCAAGCCCCCTGCCGCACCCCACTTCCACCCCAGGACGCCCTCGCGCTCACCTGCTCCGCACCGCTCGCTCCGCGCTCTCAGCCACACAATAGGGGGCGGACCCGCCTCCCGCCGCGGATGCCCCGAGCGCCTCCCGTCGCCCTGGAGACCGCCGGTCCCCTCCCGCGGCGGCCAATTGCAGCCAGCGGAGGCCCGGAGAGGCGGGCGGGACCCCCGCGCCGCCTGGGAGTTGTAGTTTCGGGAGAGAAGGACTCGGTGGCACGTGGGCTTAGGTCGCCCCCTCGTGGAGCTCTGCACAACCAAGCGTGGGAGCCGCCACGCCAGCAACCGGGTCCCGGCGGCGCCCTGGGGCCGCAAGAACCTGTCCCTTTGCAGACGCCTTTCCTCGGTGACCCGCCTCCGACTCGCTCCCCTCACTGCAGGGTGAACCACAGAGGTGGCTTCGAGGGCTGAAATCCGAGCGGGGCACGGGAGCACCCAGCGGGCGGCACGCCGCTCCGCCCTCCTCCCGGGGGATCCACCCAGGTCCCTGCTCATCCGATCTCCTGCAGCAGCCCCATCCCCACCTCCACCCCTTTCCTCACTAGCCGGACTGGAAATACCTGTCTGCGCTGGCGAGCTACCGGATCAGGCCTGGCGCCTCCCTCCCGCTTGTGCGGCTGGAGGAGGCTGCTCTCTGAGTTTAAGGTGCCAAACCAAGTCCCCTGGCAGCGCCCCGCGCCCACAGAAACAGGCCCAGAGGGAGAGATGACAGGCATCCTGACAACGGAGACTGAAAGGGAGAAACGAAATAAATGAGCGTTTGCTGAACCCCTGGAGGGTGAGGGACCCTGGACTCCGTGCCTTATAACTGTTATGGGCTCTACACAGAACCCCTGAGAAGGAAGTTTAGTTCCATTTGAAAACAGGCTCAGCCACAGGAGGTAACTTGCCCAGGACGCCCCACCTCCACCCACGCAGGGCTGCCTTCCCACCCAGGTGGACCTCACTAAACCCACTCCCTGGATACTTTATTTACAGGCAAAAAGTTATCTTGCCTATCTGCCCCGGGGACTTCTACTTCCTCAGCTTGGTACTGCTGTCAGAATGTTCAGTTATTTGCCTTCCCCGGTTTAAGCAGTTGTTGCCTATCCAGGTCCTTCCCATCCTATCAGGAAGCTCTCCCTCTCCCACCCACGTCTGATATAGGACAGACTCACACTGGGTGTGCCGGGCCACACATTCGTGGAATCATCCTGCAAGGTCCGGAATCCCTGTCATGATGTCCCTCCAGGAGGCGATCCAACCCCTGTATGAGCACAGCCTAGGCCAGGAGGCCCAGCGTTCCAGCATGGGCAGTCACCCTTAGAAAGCTCTGACTGCTAGCCTGGTGCTTCTTCCAGCTAGAAAAGTCTGGGTGCTTCTTGTCACAGAGGGAACAGAAGAGCAGCTGGGGGAGAGAAAGCTGGAGCAGGGGGTGTAGTCTCTCCTACCACCCCTCCAGCAATGGTTCCCCAAGAAGCATCTGCACACACCACTGTTTTGTCTACTGGAATTACACCACCCTAACGGTTGGTTTAACTACAGTGACAACCTTTGAGTGGGCACTGCACCAAGGCAAGGTAGGAAAGTTGGTCAGAGGGAAGCTCCAGGGAAAGATCTCCCTCCCCCACGAGGGAATAGGCCTCACCTCTGGTCTCCTTGCTGCTCTTTGAAGTGGTTTCGGAAATCAAATCTCATTTGGATATTAATTTTTTTTTGTCTTTTTGAGACAGGGTCTTGCTATGCAGTTCAGGCTGGCCTTGAGCTCACTTTGTAGCCCAGGCTGGTCTTGAACTAGCAATGATCCTCTTGCCACAGCCTCCCAAGTGCTGGGATTACAGGTGTGTGCCACCACACCCAGCTCATTTGGACATTAAAATAATTTCCTGTAGAGCGAGATTTTAAATGGTTTTCAATTTTTTAAAAAAATGTACATTTTCTAAAATGTCCACCATGCACATCCCACCACACTTATCCCTGACCACATCTTGTAATTGTATTCTCACACTTACCACCCACTTCCTTGAGGGCAGGCAACGTGTGTGCCGTCTTTCCAGTGCTGGCCCAGTTCCCGACACTTAGTAGGGAATATTATTCCCTTAAATATTATTCCCTTCCCTGAGTTTCTTGTTACTTCAGAAACTTGAAGTTTCTTGTTACTTGTTACTTCACACACTGAAGAAGATATGCGACCTGAAAAGTGGTTATCAGACGATTATTATCCTAGCTTGTAGCAGAGGAAGACCCCTGGACCTTTTTTGGGGGGGTTCCACTTCCCCTTTCCAGGTGTCCCAGACTGCTTAAGGGTGCTCATTCCTTCTCTGTTCAGAGCCTGAAAGTCAGAAGAGACTTTGCCAACTCCAGGGAGATCCTGGGGCCAGCCATGCAGGGACCAGGCTCATTCCTTCATTTACTTTCTGGGGACCAGATTCTGAAACACATGAGAAGCCAGCAGGTGATCGGTGTGTAAGCTGGACTCCAGGTGATTGTTTCTCCAGGTATGTAGTCTGCAGCCCTGTAGTGATGCCTCCTGGGGAAGGTATATGTGGTAGACTAACAACTGGTGGTCAACTTGTAACACTCAGCTGCACTGAACCAGCGTGGTGCTGGGTGTGGGAGGCCCACCTGAGGCTTGTTGCCTGCAACATAAAAATGAGAACTGGAGAGGAAGAAAAGAAGCTGTTGGGAGCTGTTAGAAGCTGTAGGGAGCTTTTTGCTTTTCTGGAGGAGTTTGTCATGCCGGCTTTCCTGATGAACTCAGCTGTTCTCATCATCGGGGGAGCTTGGGACCTTACTGTTGGTGAGGATGGCTGTGGTACTTTTTAGGGGAGCTCTGGTTCTTGCTTTGAGCATCACTTCCTGGCTCCAGTTCAGATCCCTCAGCCTGCTAGCACAGATCCTTCATCCTGCTGGCACAGACTTTCTAGCTTCCACCACTGACCTTTTAGGCCTTCCCAGCGCCAATCCATGAAACAGGCCTGCATGAGACATTGTTGTGGGCTCTATGCCTCCAGCTGGACTCCTGGGGAGCATTGTTATGGACTCTAAGTCTTCAGCTGGATTCATGCAGGACATTGACACAGGATCTAGGTCCTCATCTGGAGTCTTAGATCTTTAGTGTGTGGACAGATTTCCTGCACTCTTTTGTATGTGACTCTTTGGGTGACTATTATAAAATAATCTTATAATTAAGTGTCCTGTATTGTATTGTTTCTCCTTGCAAAACCCTAAACTACAATAATATAAAAGGGGTCAGAGGCTATGGGGGCTGTAGATCTTTTTATTGACAAGACTATAGAACTAGCCTCAGCCTAGGGACTACCTTCCAGAGGGACCAGGTTCTGGCCCTTACAGAGCAGGGTGGATCCATTTGCCAGTCTTAGATGTGCTTTGGGGACTGGTTCCAACTTCACCCCCTTTACCAGAGCCCAAGGGGCTCCATCTCCTGCACAGACACCTAGGAAGACTGTGTCTCTTGGGACAGGACAGAATAGGAAGACTCTCTACTCTGCTCTCAAAGCTTCTTCCTGTGTTGTTCTAATGCCCAACCCACAAGTCCTACTTTGCTAAAAACAAAGCATCCCTGGTCTTTGTGGTTCTCTGATGCATCTTCTTGTATCCTTTGCTGGCTCACGTTCTTTTTCTTGGAAAACCCTTTGAAGATCAGCATCCTTCCCCTCAGAGACAAGAAGGGCAGAAGAGGGCCGGAGGGATGTCAGCCGTGTCTCCCACCACGTGGCCCTCTCCTTACCTCTCAGAATTCTCAGTGTTCCCAGCCCAACCCACCCTGATGGGATCCAAGGGGCTTATTGAGATGTGTCTCCGTGAGACCTCCGGGCAGCTGCACCTGTGCCTGCCTCTTCCTTTAAGTACATGCTTCTTGTAGAAGTGGCCTACAGCTCAACAGATGTCCACTAAACACAATGTCCCAGGCCAGAGGCAAGTGGCAGGACAAAGCCAGGTCTCATGAGATCTCACTCAGTTCCCTCCCACCACATCCTACACCACCTCTGCCACCTGCTCTGTGACTTAAGTGGCTCCCGCCTTCCCTTCCCACTGGCAGCTACATAAGTGTGAGATCCAGAAGTTTGATTTGGAGACAATGATGGAGATGGGCAGGGGCACACGGGAGTAGGGGAGGAATTGGTTTTAATCACTGGCTGAGGGAAAGAAAGCACGAAATGGAGGGCATGTGCCAGGAGTAGAGAGCAGGCATTAGCCCAAGATAAAGCTCCAGGGAAAACACTGAGATATGCAAATCTACAGAAAAGGGACAGATACGATAGCAATATCAACCACAGACAAGTGTCAAGGGCTCAAGATCTCAGCTACTGATCCTGTAGAGGTGTCAGCCCTTTGAGGTAGGCACCAGAGATGTGAAACAACTCGTGTCAGGGAGATGAGGGGTCACCAGGTCCCCAAGCAGGACTGAACTAGGTAGGGGCCTTCCCATGTCCCTGGGATGGCTTCTGCATCAGGGTGAGGTAGATGAAGTAGTTACATAAATTTGTCCACCAGAATGAGAATGGGGAGAGAACAGAAGAATCTTAGGAATGATACCACTTTTATGCAGAATTCAAGAGCCTGAAATCCTCCCATTTAAGACTTGCGAGTTCAGTTAGCTTAAGAGGGCTTGTTCACTGGTCTCCTTTAAAACATACAGTTCAGTGCAGGTGGGAATGGCCTGGGCGTAGTAAGAGCAAGAACCACCTCACTCTGAGTGGGTCCTTATACTCACTCTGCTCCCCAAAGGCAGGCCCAGAACTGCTCTGGGTTTGGAGATGGATTCTAGGACAGAAGAAGATAAGGACTGGGCTTTGCCAGAGCTGCCCCAAAAGATAGAGGACCAGACACAGCTCCTCCAGAGCCGTGGAAGCTTAACATGACTTTATTCCCACATGGCCTTCCCTCAGGGAGGGGAGGACCTTTGAACATCCATCCCTGAGTCCGCCCTCTGCCCCTAGGTAGGATGACTCCCTGTGGGCTGTGAGGAGGCAAAATTCAAGATGGAGGCTCTCAGAGGCTCTCAGGCTGGGCCCAAGTCAGCTTCTCCTTCTTCCTCAGTTTAATTCTGTTCCTTTTGAGTTTCCTTGTCCTTGGCACTTCACTTATTTTTTTAACTCAGGTGAGCCAGAGCCCCACGGCTAGAATTATCAAGAGCAAGAGGAGGAGCAATCCCTTGGCTAGGAGGCAGGAGGGCATTGAAGGCGTCTCACGATAGCCAGGGTCTGGGAAAGAAGAAAGGAAGGAAAAGGGACTCATCAGGGGGAGCAATAAGTTAAGATTGGGGACAGACAATTTCACTGAGGGTTTTCACACATGCAGTCAGTTGATGTCTATCCCTGGAAAAGTATTCTACACCCAGAAGCTCAGGAACTGAAATCTGGGAGCAATCTTAAGCCAAGAAAGAGAACTTTGGAAGGTGGTGTCCCTCCCCAAGCCAGGTAACAAGCCTCTGTGGAAGGGGTTCTGGACTCCGTATACTCCCCTAAGAATCACTGGGGTGGAGAGAGATGGTGTCTGGCAGCACAAATCTTGTGTGAGCTCAGGGGTTTCCTCTGGGGTCCTGGTACCTGCACAGAAGAGTCCAGCAGCGATGGGAAGAGAATTGATGCTGCCGACAGGGTTGCTAGCCCTGCAGGTGTAGGAAAGCACTTTGTCCCCAGGCCTCCAGGACGTGCTGAGGCCAGAGCCTTCCTGGGCTGCTTCAGCACTGTCCCCCAAGGTGAGCCAGCTATAGGTGACGTTCATGCCTGCTCTGTCCACAGAACACACCAGAGATATATTACAGGCACCTTCCCCAGGGATCTCGAAGTTCACAGCAATTTGAGGCTGCGAAAGCCGTCCTAGATGGGCAGAAACACAAAGACCCACTGAACAATCCAGGAATTAAGTCTGTTCTTCTAAACATCTTGATCCTGGACTACTGGTGCTGCTTCGAGGGCCTCTTTACCTAAACAAATCAGCAAAACGAAACACAAACCAACCACCATAATACTTTGATTCCAAGGTTTCCAGGGCACCTGCTAAGGTGATAGAGCTGCACCACTATGCTTTCTCTACTTTAATTTTTTTTTTTGTCTTTTTTAGACAGGATCTCACTATGCAGTTCAGGTTGGTCTTGAGCTCACTTTGTAGTCCAGGCTGGTCTGGAACTCGCAGCGATCCTTCTGCCTCAGCTTTCCAAGTGCTGCGATTACAGTTGTGTGCTGCCATGCCTGACTTTTTTTTTTTTTTTGTGTGACAAGGTCTCACTATGCAGTTCAGGCTGGCCTTGAACTCACAGCAATCCTCCTGCCCCAGCCTACCAAGTTCTGGGATGACAGGTACGCACCACCCCACCTGCTCTCTCCTTTACATTTGTACCCCATCTTCTCCCAAACCCTCTTCTGCTTCCTCAGTCCCACAAAACACTACCGACCCTCCCCAAACCATTTATATTGATATCAGCATCTCTACAAGATTCAAGGTAGATTTGATGTGACAGGCATGAAGAAGAAAGTGAGGTTCAAATCGATGGGAGATATTGATAACTAACCCTCAAATGGCACGACAGGGCGTGAAAGACTCAAAAATGGAGGTGGTGTTCATCCTCAGGAAACGCAATCTCACTGGGGTAGAAAGTCCCCTTAGAATCCTGTACATGAAGGCTTTGTGCCTCTTTCTGCATTAGACATCTCCATGGGAACAGCCCAGGACCCAGTGCCCAGTGCCCTCTTGCTCCACCTCACTGCTGAGCTCAGACACCAGCCTGGGCACACCGGAGACCATCTGCCTTCTAATTCTGGTTCCTCACGTCATAATCCTGAGTCCTAAGACCCCCACTCCAGGGCACGGGAAACTCAGGAGAGCTAGAACCAGCCACCTTTATGGTCCCCTGGTGTAAACTCACGGTAGACACGCAGGTTGTAGTGCTGCATGGTGGAGAGCTGCGATGTCTGCAGATTGACCTGAGCTTGGTAAGGCCCTGAGTCCTGCCAGCTCACGTTTCTGATGTGCAGAGAGTAGCTGGGACCCAGGAAGCTCACTCGGCCCTCATAGTGAGGGTCATCCACCACGACACTAACTGGCTGTCCTTCCTTCCCTGGCATCACTGTGGCAAGTCTTTTCTGGGAGAACCAGACAATGCTCTTAACTTCTTCACCAGGCGGTATTTCCAGGGGGAGGCTGACGGACTCCTGAAGGGCTGCAACTACTTCCTCAGGCTCCACACCATCTCCAGAGTACCCTTTGGCTGTAGATGTGGGAAGAAAAGCGAAAAGGCCCAGCTGGTGTCTCTGGGATTCTGAGCCTGGCAGCAGAAGCTATGGCTCCACCTCAGTTGGGCCCACACTCAGCCAGCCTCCAGCTGCCTCTTCTAGATTTCCATTGTCCCTCAGTTGATGGCCTGCAGGGGTTGGAATCCATCCGTCTCTTCACCCTCCAAGTTTACCTTGGCCTTTGCCACCCTGCCACTGCTCCCTCTCCCATGTCCCTAGATGTCCACCTCTCTTGATCCTTCCCTGAAGCCATACCCAGTTTCTCAGACCCCAGAAATGCTGACACATTCAACCCCAAAGGGTCTTGCTACCCCCAGGATCCAGCAGAATAAAAGAAGGGAGAGGGAAGAAGACAGCCCTCTGCAGGAGCAGACAGTCACTCACCTTCCTGGAGCAGCAGGACAAGGAACAGCCAAGGAAGGGTCCCCATGTCAGCAGCCCAGCCCTGGAAGGGTGACATGGTTAGCCCTCCTGGTTGAAGAGAAAACAAGATGTTCGGTTCCTGATTGGCAGGAGAGTGACTGCTTGGCTGTCCTGAGGAGAGGGAAATAATGCTCAGCCTTACTTCCTCCATCCTCACTCGGCCCCTCCCTGTGCCTCCTGGAAAGAGCTCTCTCTCTGAGCCTGGGTGTCAAGATGGCTTGTCCACTGACCCCTGTTGCCCACTCGCCATGCTCAACTCAGACTCCACTCCCTATTGAAGACTCTGAACTCCCTCTCCTCCCAGACCCCATACCTATCACAAGCCCAGATCTTGCAAAATACCCCCTCACTTGCTGTTTGGCCTCAGCATGCTCTGCTGCAGCTCTCTCTCTCCTAGTTACTATGTTGCTATGATCACTTGATCTTATAAACATCTTATCTCCCCTGCTAGATTCTATCTCTTATTTCCTCTTTTGTAGATCTCGCTATTGCTGAGCCCCTGCAAGACACATGTGAGCACTCAACTGATATTTTTAGAAGGGATGGATGAAGGCAGCCAGCCATGTTCTCATTTGAGAAGTTAAGGGGCGGGGGTTGATCCTCTTTAAACAAGCAATTTGGACCAAGGTTGATGTAAGTTGTTAATATTATGGAAAGACTTTATACGACTCTACAAGAATATGATATTGATCAATGCTATAGGAAGTCAGATTCCAGAAGAGAGTCAAGAAGATCAAGGTAAGAAAAGACTTTCTGACAGTCAGAACTGGCCAGGATCAGTGGGTTGCCTTGGGATGTAGCTTCTGTTCCTGGTGTTCAAGCTAAGACTGGTCAATCACTTGATTGGGGAGTCTGCAGCCTTTCTGGCATCTGATGGATCCTCAGACGGGATAATCTTTACGTTTCTTCTAATACTGAAGTCTATGAGTCTGTACTGTCATGAGAAAACAAGAGTGGCGTGTTGAGACCACGAACACAGCAGAGGCGGATATGCTCAGTTCCGGTCCTGTGCCAGCATTTCATAACTTTAAGTCAACAAATCTAGCACCTTATCAAACGGTTACTGAGCAGCTTCTCTATCCCACACCATCTCCTAAGTAGTGGGCAGTTGCTGGTAACCAATAATTTTATAACTTTACGGAGCTTGTAGGCTAACAACTGACCTTGAACAATAACTACACATGTGATGAGTGCTATCGAAGGAAAATTGGAAGAGCTTATAACAAGAAGATGTAGCAAAGTTGGAGTCCGGGAGTCCGGAGGATTGAGGGAAGTCTATCAAGAAGAAATGATATTTAGGCTAAAACCTCAAAGACAAGTAAGATCTGCTAAGTGTAAAAGACAGATAGTCACACAGTTCAGTTAATGAATATCCTAATCCAATCAATCCAACTTTTTTTCCAATCCAATTTTTTTTTTATAAAAAGTAGATCAGGTTTCAGCTCAAGTATGAAACTTGTGAAGATGAGTCTTCTCATTTATTTACAAAATAAAATTAGATCTAGCAAATCACTATCTGACCTATAGGCAAAGGAAGTGAAATTGATATGGTGAAGAGATGTCTGCATGCCTGCGTTCACTGCAGCACTATTCACTATGGCCAAAATATGGAATCAACCTAAGCATCCGTCGGTGGGTGAACAGATAAAGAAACTGCAGTGCGAACACACAATGGAGTACTACTCAGCCTTACAGAGAAAGACATCCTGTCGTTTGTATCAACATAGATGAACTGAGAGAACACAATGTTAAGTGAACCAAGTCAGTCACAGAAAGGTAAATAGCACATGATCTTATATACGGAATCTAAAACAGTTAAACTCACGCAAGTAGAGAGTAGAAGAACAGCGGTCTCTAGGAACTGGGAGTGGGCGGGTGGGTGGGGCGAAAGTCATAGGACACAGACTTTCAGGAGAAAAAAGCTCAAGGGTTCTATTGTACAACATAGTAACTAGAGTCAATGGAGAGTATTCTTAGAAATTGCTGAGAATAGATTTCAAGTGCTCCTACCACAAAAAATATGCAGAGTAATACCTACATTAATTAGCTTGATTTAGCCATTTTACAATAGATAAGTATTTTAAAACAACATGTTGTACATAATTAAGTATCTACAAATTTTTGTAGACTGAAAAAAAATAAAATTAAAAGAAAGAATTTAAGAAAAAATAAGATCATGGGCAGAATATCCAGAGCATAAAGGGTAAATGTACTGGTTAGGCTCTCTGAGTAGCAGATGCTGGCGTTAGGCGTATAAGAGGCTTATGCGGAGTGTGTGGTGTGGGGGGAGTTCTGCCTGTCACAGATAAACAGGCAAGGAAGCAGGGAGCGCTTCAGACCGTGATGCAAATCCCACCAATGCTGCCAACTCACAGAGAGCTCTGGCATGAAGTTTGCCCAACACAGGAGACCTGTGTTGGGCAGAAACATCCGGGCACGAGGTCCTCCCTGTGCGGGGAATACCCATGTGATGACAGCCATACCGTGAGCAGTTATTGGCTGGCCCTGCCAGGAAGTTGGATCCTGACTATGTGGAGACTGTCCTGTCAGGGTACCTCTTGCAGCTGAAGATAAGTTTTCTCTTGGAGAGCTGAGGGGCACCTCCATGGCTGCCGCAGTGTGTATGCTGATAGCTGGAAGGTACCTGAGCTCACATGAATTAAATTTGTCTCCACATATAGGCATAAACAGGAGGAAAATGATCGCTTTCTCCAGTCCTCACTGGCTTTCCAAGTCCAATGTGGACAGCATCATTTCTCAGAGCATGATTTTCAAGTCTAAGACTTACCCTACCTTAGAGGTTGTGCTCCAAAGGCAGCTTCATTCCTGTCTCTCTGATCTCACTCTCTGCAGAGGCTTCTTCTGCCTAGGAAGAAAACGAGGGCCGCGATTTCTGGTGTCTGTTCAGGAATGAGAACTCCCTGTCCCATGTAGTGTATGAAATTCGACGTTTACACATTTTGCAATCATATAATCTCCCCTTCCCCTCGTTGGCAAGTGGTCAGGAATAGGAGCTTGCAGTGGTGAAGAGGAGGTCTCGGCTCTCTCTCCTGGGGTCACCTCTCTACTATTTCCTCAGCGCGTGTTCCCTCTCCAGAAGGATAGGGAGGGTGAGCAGGTGACCAATAGTCCGTACCTGGCTAAGTGTCTTTGCACTCTGTCACCCTGCCACTGGTCCCTGGACACCTGGCCACACACTTCCAGTCCCCACCTCAACCCTCTCCTATTGCCCCTGTTGCACAACACATAGGACAAACACCCAGGCCAGGCCCACAGGTGTCCTGCGGTTGTGCACTATTAACCTTCCTTATCCTAATGCACTCTCAGTTTTTGTTTTTGTTTTTTTTTTTTTTAATTTTATTTTTGCAGTACCGGGAATCGAACTCATGACTTTGCGCTTGCCAGGCAGGTGCTTTTGCCACTGAGCTATATCCCTAGCCCCTACTATCAGTTCATAACACGGCTCCATGCTCCTGGCTTCCTATTGGGAGTCAGATCTTAGTCCATCATCAGTTTTATAAGACTCATCTTAGGCTCCAAGGCACACATCCCAAAGTTCCCCTAGTGTCATCACGTCTTCATCATCATGTCATCGTCATCTTCATCCCCCTCCCCCTCCTTCTTCTTCTTCTGGTACTGAGATTGAACCCAAGGCCTTCACACCGAGCCACATCCCAAGCTCTTCATACTTTTTATTTTTAGACATAAAGTCTAAAGTGCCCAGGCTGCCACTAAAGTGCCCAGGCACTCAGCCTGCTAGAGTGCTGGAATTACAGGCTTGAACCACCATGCCTAGCTCTCTACCATTCTTTTTCTTTTTTTTTCCCTAACATTCTTGAAGTCTCCATCGTCTACCTTGTGATCTGAGGTGACATCACTTATCCTTTGGAAAAGATGTGGTGACTCACAATAAGGCAACAGCTATTCCCAAAGGAGTCTCCCAATTACCCTCTCACAACCCTTCCTTCACGGATGAGGGGCCTCCAAGAGCAGTGACACAGCTTCTCCATAACTGTTGCTGTAAATCTTTCAAGGAGAAACGTCCCTCACACTGTCTTTGATCTCCTGATACCTGTCACACTGTCAGCTCAGTGTATCCAAGCAGGAAGAGATCCATTCTAACACCTTGCTTACAGCACTCATTTAAGATTCCCTGTAGTTCAGGCCGTTCACCACCTGATTTGTGTCCTGCAGATTTATGACTGAGTCCCCCTTGCGGTTTATACCCTGGGCAGGCTCTGCCTTTCTTTTTTTTTCAGGTACCAGAAATCGAACTCACGACCTCACACTTGCCAGACAGGCGTTGTGCTGCTGAGGTAAATCCCCAGCCCCTGGGCTCTGCCTTTCTGCTTCCTGGCTTTTTCCGCAACAGTGGGAGGTCACTTAACCCAAGCATGGGAGTGGCTGGGATATGGGGGTGGTAGGGTGGAGTGCGGAGTTGGTATGGAGTTGGTATATAAATGTCACAGACTCCTTGCCCTTCTGTGGGACAGTTCTGACTCATGTTCTTCATGGTTCCTCAGAAGATTGAGCTCCAATTGTCCGCAGCAGTTATCGGCTATTGACATACCCTTTATTGGCTTTTCTCCCTTCTCTGCCACATTTTTCTCATTCCTTCTTTTTGGATCCCGTCCCAGAAAGACTTCCTCTACCCAACTTCTTTGCTAAGTGTGTGCTTTGGAGGAAAACCACACTAAGAGTTATTACGTGACAAAGTACGTGGCACTAGTAAAATCTAGATCTCCTCTGTCTTTTGCATGGGTCTTTTTAGAGAAAACAACACAATGAGAAATAAGCCCCACCCCATCTAAATTCTGATGTAAAGTCCTGAAAGAGCCATTAACAAGTAAGTTCCAACAAAATTATCTCTCTCCCTCCCCAGACAATGCATGGTGAGACCTGAATGTATCCTCTACTCTGGACCTGGCCTGTGCCCTTGATTTGCTTTCCCTCCTTGTTTTCTCTCCTTCTTCCCTTTTAAGTGTCTGTAGTACAAGGGTGATTATTCAGTTGAACCATGAAGGAGGCTGGGTAAAATGAAAATGGTCTGCAGATTGTTGAAGTACACCCACAGGAGTCCTTATAAAATAGAGGAGTATTCCCTGAAAAGGGACCAGCATGGCCAAATCCTCGAGGTGGGAGATGGAAGAGCACACAGAGGCTCAGAGAATATCACAACAGAGAGAATCGAGACAGGAAGGTGGGGAAGAGTTGAGATGAGGCTGGAAAGATGGAGACAGCTCACCTAGCCTTGTAGACCTGGTCAAGAGCTTGTACCTCTCTCACTCAAGAAGTTTATCTTTACAGGGAGAAGAAATATGGGATAAGAGATAAGGGAAAACCTAGTGTAGAGGGAACTTATATTGCTGATGTTTACTTAAGATAGGAAAGATATCAAAAAAAAAATAGGAAAGATATCAACATATTTAAAAACCAAAAAGAGGAGCCAGTAGGGACAGGGGCTAAAGATGCAGTCAAACACAGATGATCCATGCAGCACAGCCTCTCCTCCACCCAATCCTCACCCTCAGAAGGTAGAGGGAAGCTGAGATTCAGAGTCTATGAGAAGCCCAAGATTACGAGATGATCTTCCACTATAACCAGAAGAAATAGGCAGAGATGCTGGTAGGTTGTTATGAGTCAAGAAGTTGATAGGAATCCTGTCTAGTGGTTTCAATTTTGTCTGTAAACTGAAGGTTTAAGCGAAAGGCAGACATTTGGGGAGAATGAACAGTTTGATATTCAGTTTTTATTTTACTAGCGGTTGAACCCGGGGCCTCCTACATGCTAAGGAAATGCTCTACCACTGAGCCACACCCCCAGCCTTTTTTTGTGTTATTTTGAGACAAGGTCTTGCTAAATGACCTGGGCTGGTCTCCAACTTGCAATCCTCCTGTCTCATCCTTTTGAGTTTGGGTTTTGCTGTGCTGGGGTTGAATCCAGGACCTTGTATATGCTAGGCAAGTTCTGTACCCTTAGCCCCTGGAAACAGTTTGAAACAGATGAGGAGATTACATCAAGGGTTCTTGGGTCCGTCCTAGTTGAAGTATGTTGTCCAGGCCTAATTGTTCATAGGGCCTCTTTTTGCTTTCAGGAAGTGTCCTGGTTTGGAGGATACATCACTTAATGTTCCCTAAAACAGGTGAAAAATTGTACTAAAGCAATCGTGATGAGATGGCCAAACCTTAAGAGTCAAAGTCTAGCTTTTTCTGGGGAAGACCCGAAAGGAATCAGTAGGACCACAGTGAATGAGAGCCACATCTGGAAACAAACTGGCTGGGTTTCTTCCTTTGCAGATGGGATACTCACAATAGCTACTTCATAAGGTGGACCTAGAAATCAAATGAGGTAATGCCTGAAAGCACTTAGCCCAGAGCCTGGCACACAGCGAGGGCTCAATGAATATGAGCTGAGTTACTGAACTCAGTTACTTAACCTTACTGAAGGTTAAGCGTAAAGATTATGGGCATTGGCATTATGAAGACTTGGGGCCCCTTGGTAATAGGCCAGGGTCTGTGGTTATTGAAGAGAATATGCCGGAAGTCTCTAACAGAAGTCGCGTGAGTAGGTTTATTTGAGAACCAATCAGCCTAGTCTGAGGGACAGCAGGTACCATGCAGGGTTGCTCAGCCCAGCTCTGTATTTTCCATGCCAGCTGCCTGTTCACCAGCCCAGCCCCTTATGTCTGCAAAGGTGAACAGACTGGGCTGCTTCCCTTAACCACACCCTGAGCAATTCATTCTTTCTCTCCTGGACATCGCATACCCCAGAGTAACTCATACTCACATGCATCCTTCCCTCTAATTAGCTCTTAAGCATAACGTGTCTTCTCTTCTCTCCTAAAATGAACCGGTGTGTGTCGCTCTGGGTTACTTGTCCTCGGACCTCCTTACACTTACTGCTCCCAAAATGTAGGTGTTGTACCATCTGCAGTAGAGCCACTCAGAGCAATGGCTGAGGAGCTGAGGATATAGCTCAGAGGCACAAGCACCTGCCTGGCAAGAGCAAGGTCCTAAGTTCGATTCCCAGTACCAAAAAAAAAAAAAAAAAAAAAAAAAATGTCACAGGACAATGGCTGAAATGCCAGTGCCTGTGGCCCACTTCAACCACTGGGTCAGGATACAGGAATGGGACCTAGGAACCCACCTGCCTATCAGGCTGGGTCCCCAGGTAATTCCACTGTAAGCTGAAGCTGGAGAAATGCACACTTCACCTGCTTTTCTGTTCTGCTGGAGCGGAGCGGAGAGGAAGTTCCCCAGCCAGGGATGTCTTTTGTCTCCACTCACAAAAGATTTCTTTCCCCCTGAGCAGAGCTATGAAATGATACTGTCTTATTCCCTTCTTCAACTGGGCTTTGGAGAATGTGAGAGGGGCTCTGAGGGCTTTTAATCTGTTTTCCAAAGAGCTGTCTGTGGATTGCTAAGGGAGGCAGGTGCAAGGCCAGGGAGCTCCAACCTGAGACTCCTCCTTTTATCTTTTTACACATGGGGGCTTTGAAGCAGCACTTGTTTGAAAATAGGGGGCTATCGCTAAAGAAAAAAAGTGTTTAAAATCTACTGATCTTGCCCAGCTCTTTATTTTACAAATTAAAAACAAAGGAACAAATAACCCCAGAGATCAAGTGATGGAAAGAATGCTTCAGTTCTACACACTTCAGTGCAAAGTTAGGACCAAAACTCAAGTCTTTTTGTGTCTTCTGGCTTGGATTTTACTTGACTAAACAAATGTAGGGTATAACAGAAGTATCCAGTGATGCCCTAGCACATAGAAAGCCCTCAGGAAATGTCATTATTATTGTTGGTGTCATTATTAATTTGCATTTGTATCCTTTAATTATTGATTTGTAGGTCAGATTGGAGGCACACA